ATATTCCTTTTCCTAACCCGGGCCCCAAAGAAGACGGGTCAATCCAAACCCCAAAAATCCCCAGCCACCCCATGCTGGCTGGGGATTTCTGGGAGTTGAACTCCACCCATCTTCAAGCGGCCAAGGTTGAGAAACACTATTCTAAGCTGTGCAGTAACGCTACATTATAAATAAACTTTGCACCACACTAAACCGCAGAGAAATGGCAACGGAGATTAATATGAACTGCACTTAGTATTTTCTACAAAAGTCAGTAAGCCTATTGGCCAAACTCAATGCAAAAGTTGAAGCGTTTCGTCTCATTCCTGAACTTCCATCCCCAGCGTTAACGTAGCCGAACGCTAAAACATCAGCGATTTCTTCTCAGTTATCCCTGCCTGTTTCCTTCCCCCATACCTGCTCCCTCTAGGCTGGCTTTCAAATACTAAGCTAAGCCGGAGTGTAACTTGGTTGGTTTCGATAATGCGTATTAGGCAGACACGGCCATTGTGGCTTCTCAACCAGTGTTGGACGTAGCAATTGGGTTCAAACAAGGAGTTAGACTAGGTTCAAATTAGATTGGGGAGCTGGACAGGGACCCATGGCGGGTTGGTTTGACTTATGCGTGTTATGTGAACTATACCACCAGCCCTGGATTAACCGTGAAGCAAAACAAATATAAATTTGATATTAAAAATAAATAAATAAATGAAACCATGCAAGGGAAGGGGGGCACCACAGAGTTTTTTCCCCTAACGATCCTGCCCTTATTTTACCTTACAATCTTCGGGAGGGTACTTAAAACCAGTATTCAATCATTTTTTGCATTTGCGTCTTTCCCCCTAAAACAATTTTATTAAAAAATTGCATTAAAAAAGTGTTGAAAATCTGCATGTTTTCGGTTGCCCTGCTTAGAAGGAAATAATTTGCCTGTGTTGAGTCGCCCATAAATAAAACGTTTATATTTCATACAGTCGTGGGGTCCGGCCTAGAAGAAAACTGAATTTTTAATCTCTTCTTTTGCCTTTGGCACTTATTGAGTTAATGTCTTGCCAGTTAAGTGATGGAAGGGCCGAGGGGGACCATTGTTGGACTGTGTTTAGGGCATCTGACTATGTTTTCTTAACCCGGGTTTAGGGAGTTGTGCGAACCCATCCATTCCCGGGACTTGGAAGGGACTCACACTACCTTTTCCACCAGATCGACGAAAAAGTCTCGAACGTCTTTGCTGTGGGTGAGCTTCGAGGCAATGTTGATCAAAGCCCGACTGAGATTCTGTAAGATATAAACAGGGGGTCACTCAAAGAGCCTTCCACCTTCACCTTCCCTAGATCCCTGAAATCCAATTTTGGAGGTTTTTTCACTTTTTTTCCCAAAGCGCACTGGCTCCCCCTCGTGGCCAACAGAGAAATAAGGGGTCAAAAGCACTTCCCTGTTTGCATCGGGCCCCGGAGAAAATTCAGATGCTGTACAGATTTTTCTCTATTACCCAACAAGGAGGTGTGGGAACAAAGGGAGGCATGTCTGGTTTCAAAACCTGGGAATGTGCTCCAGCATGACGCACCTTAAAATTGGCTTCCATCTCGTTGTACACTGAGATTTTGCCCCGCAGTGCTGTGCACACCAGGCTGGGGAATAAGAATAAAAAGGAAAAACTAGGCAGAATCAAGGAAATTTTAGCCCCTCACCTCCATGCCTATTTCACAACACCAGAAGGCAGGACCTGTGGGAAATGGAGAGGTACCTATGGCCAGCCAAAAACTGGACTCCAAATTTCAGCCACCCCAAGTATTGGCCCCACTGGCTGGGGATGATGGGGGTTGGAATCCAATGGCTGGAAGGCAGCAATGTTGTGCTTCCTCCCCCAACCTAGACCATGCAGACCAAAAAAAAAAAAAAAAAGGCAGACTGCCTCTGAGTGTCTGCAAATGCTCTTTCTGGTGCTCTGCTCTTCCCCAACGTTTCAGAAGTTAATTTAGAAACTGAACCCCGTTTTAACACATTGACAGCTTCACTGCAGCATGTGCAACCCTCTGGAATGGAAAGGGTCCCCAGCAAGGGCTTGTCCCCAAAGTGAAACATCTGCCTAGCTACTGGCAAAGCAGTGCGAGAACGCAACCACTGCTTTGACCCGAGCGTTCTGCTCTCTCCACATGGAGAAACAAGGTGCTAGTCCTCAGTGTTCTCCAAGGAATGAAACTCCCTTGAGCTTGCTACACCCCACCTATGGAGCTTTGTTGCCTTCCTCTCTTCCTGATATGAACAATTAATTCAAACATCTTGGGAGAAAATGAAAGGTTATAAAAGACCCCCCCAATATCATCTAATAATATCACTTCCGCCCAACTCCTCCCCGATGCGTCATTCACCTGCCTTAGAGGAAAAGTGCGAAACTCTACTTGCTCTGCACCCCAACCAAGGCTTTTAATATTTTGCAGCACCCCCTTAAATACCTCTTGTGCAGATCTAATAAGTCTTTGTCCGCAATCAGAACTTTTAACTCTTTAAGGCCCTGCAAAAATTCTTTATCCAAGTCGACGTCCATATCATCCACGTTGGTATCTGCGAAGACAAGAAAAGCAAGCCTTTAATGACTAATTTTATTTAAAACTTCTCTACCTGGACTGGTTCTTGGCTCCCTGAAACCATTCATCCCTCTTTCTGAGATCACAATTTTGAGTTCATTTGTCCAAGTATGGCTCGTGATCCACATGAGGACTAGAATCTTTTTTTTTGGGGGGGGGAGAGGATTGTTCTTCTAGGTGCCACATTTCAGACAAATTTAGACTGTTGGGAACAGGTTCAGAAAAGGGCAAGGAGAATGACTAGACTAGAAACAAGGTCTTACAAGTAGGGAACGGAGTATGCTTAGCCTTAAGATGATTAAAGGGAAGATGAAAATACCTTTTAAATACAGGTCTCTAACATCTCTGAGCAACAGTCACGGAAGAATGGATTTCAATGACAGAATGAATGGAATCAAATTACAGAATCCGGGGGCAGGTTAGGGAAAACTCCCTAAAATTAAAAAGAGAGGTGGAGAATAGAGCCAGGCTGGAAAGGGGAGTCCCCAAGCCAAACCTACGACAGTCCTTCGCTGCAGACGTGTTGGAACCTGGAGGTCTCCCATCTTACCCACTGCCCCCAAAGTCCAATTCTCGATCATCTGTTCGGCGCAGTAGGCAAAATCCTCGAAGCTCAAGTATTGCAGCTTCTTCTTCCCCGTCTCAAAGCGGCTGTTTGCGAAGAACACGATGGCGGCGTAATCCCTGGAAAGATTGGGGGTGGGAAGGTTTCGGAGTTTAAGCCGGGCAGCTTAACCTCTAGGGCAGTGTTTCCCAACCTTGGCAACTTTAAGTTTGGTGGACTTCAACTCCCAGAATTCCCCAGCCAGCATGGCTGGCT